GTATAATCCTTAGCGGGTATAAAGAGGCTACTACGTCTCCGTGACGTCGTATACTATACGGAATTTATTACTAATATCGTCTCGGAACGCTAGCTACGCCTATAAGGCTACCGCTAAGACACCGTAAACGATACTATCGTTAGCTCCGCCGACGACCGGCCTATTTATAAGCTACTAGATATCCACGGCTAATATATAATCGAGCGCGCGGAAGCTATAGCCGCCACCGCGTTCGCGGTCTTAGTAAGGTATCCCCGCGATAACCCGTATAGAAGATTATAATAACCGCGGTAACCGTAAAAGACCACGGTATAATAGTGGCACGAACGCCTTAGCTACTACGGCACCGATACTCTCGTAAAGATCGTCGACGCGACTTAGGGGGTAAAGATAAAAGGACCTTATATAATAGACTATAACGCGTCTAGGTAATCGTAAATGCCTACGTAGATCCGGCGGATACTATCCCTTTACCCGTTAAAGCCCGGAGAGGCCCTGGCTATTCATTTTCACGATCTAGAAAAGGCGGAGCGGGTTAATAGGCAGCCTGTATAAGTCTATTATATTCGTTATAGACGTGTATATAGGTTATTCGTGGGATTACTACCTATAGAAGTGAGACTAAGGCTCTATCCTGCACGCGTTAAAAGATGTTTTTGCCTTATTTAAGACCTAATTCGACGTCCGGCTATATATCCTAAAAGCCGATTCTAAGATATTTTAGCACCTAGAAGTCGTTGCTTTCCTCGCTGCTAAGGGCGTAAAAGGCTAGCCGTTAGTATTATATTTATAGGATTAAAACGGCGTTATAGAACGGCTTAAAGGTATAGTTAAGAGAAGAGCAAGGGCTATAAGGATTAGAGCTAATCTGCCTATATCTATTTAGCCTAAGATCTTTAAGACTGCTATATATCTATATAATAGGACGCTATAATATATTAACGACTAGCGAACACTATACGAAGGCCTACGGGGCCGTTAACCTAACCTTACGCACCTATAAGCTTACGGCTGGCTATAAAGCCTTTATAAAAACGCGCGATGCCTAAGCTAAAAGGAACCGCCTATAAAGGCTGGAACCGAAGGTATAGATCGGTTATTATATCGGATACTAATCCTTAAATAGCTTCTGTATTTAGCTGCTATACTTAACGGATATTATCACCACGAGAGACGTGGTCTTTAACGAAGATAAGATATTTAACGGTAGGATTAAAACGCTATAAGCTATAGCTTCCGCTAAGGAAATCGGGGAACGCCTATAATCTATCCGTATCACCTAATCTAATAAGACCGCGAATAGGCTACTATTAAGGGGTATAGCCGTAGACGTATTAGATCTCGAGTCGGAAGACTCTAACGCCGCCGCTATTACTACGGATACAGGCGAGGCTATCGCTACTACTATGAGAAAGGCCACTACTATTACTATAAATAAGGTTGTAAATCTATAGCCTAATTACTAGGCTATAGATTTAGAACCTCGTAACTCTAATACTACCGCTATTACCATAGGAGAGGCTACCGCTATTACTACGGATACCTTACGGTTTACTATTACGAGGTTTAAACCGTTTCTCACGCCTTTAATATCCCCGGAAGATCCCGCACGCGCGTTCCTTATAGCGTTAATAGTGGTTATGGGAATTAAGGTAGAAGAACACGATAACCACTAACGGATAGCCGCGGATACCTTTAGGGGGTGCTTGTCGGCCGCATGCCGATTGGCTGCGCGCCTATCTATCGCGAGAACTATCGTAAGTCTATACACGACCGAGAAGGTCTAGAATAATAACGCCTAAAAGGCGTTCTTTAACGCTAGCAGGACTTATAATTCTATACGCGCGAGGAAGTAAGCTATTAACGATAGCGATATCGGTGCTATAGATCTTCCTTATATCTCCTAGCCACTATCGCATGTAACCCGCGAGGATCTCCCGCCTTTACTAAACAACCACCGCGATATACGCCTCTACCCGTTATAGGAGCGGTGGTTGTAGACCGAGGGGGAATACCTTAAGGGGTACTGATAGATAGGCTGCTAGTAGGAGATCAGTAGTGATTAGGCTAATAAGTAATAAGTCCTCGCTTATAGATAGGTATACAGCTATAAATTTAATAAGGAGGGCACTCTCCTTAAGTATAAGGCACGCCTTATAGTCCGAGGGGATTAATAAAAATAGTTAGAGACTAAGGATAACTACGCTGTAACGCTAGCCTCGCGGTCTTTCCGTATACTAATAGCGATCGCCGCCCGATTTAACCTGGAGATAAGGCGGTTCGACGCTATTAACGCGTTCGTTAACGCTAGCCTTAAGGAAAAGATATTTATAAAGATACCGTAAGGCTACGAAGTACTAGGTAAGGTCCTACTACTACGGAAAGCCCTCTTCGGCTTAAGGGTATCGCCACTACTATAGTAAGAGGAATTTAGCGGTACGTTCTAGAGGATAGGATTTACGGCCGTGCCTAGTAACCCTTATATTATACTCCGCGATAGTTTAATCCTATTCTTCTACGTCGATAATATCGGACTTATCTACTATAGAGATCGTAAGACTAACGCCGACGACCTTAAGGCCGCCCTTAAGCGAAGCTATAGGTTATTAGGAGGCGAGGAAATCCGCTAGTTCCTGGGAATTAAGGTCCTATGGGATAAAGCCACCCGTAGATTATAGCTATTATAATCCTCCTATATAGAGAAGATCGTGGTTAAATACTACGTAGATATACTCTGCCGAGAACCATTAAAGGTCCTATTATTAACGATAAAGCCGCTAATACCCCGTGATAGCACACGCGCGTTAATTCCCGAGGTCCGCTAGTACTAGGGTATAATCGGTTCTATCCTATATACCGCTATTATAATAAGACCCGATATCGCGTTCGCCTATTCGAAGCTTTCCTAATATAACGTTAACCCCTCCTCCGACCACCTTAAGAGGGCTTAATAAATACTACTATTCCTATATTATATAAGACACTACTACCTAGAATTCTGCGGGGATAGGCTCTTCCTGATAGTAAGCAGCGCGTCCTTTAGGGATAGCCCAGACCGTAAGAGTTTATAGAGATATACGATAAAGCTCTTCGGGGGAACCGTTAACTAAAAGGCGGGTAAGTAACTAATAATAATAACGTCGTTAATAGAGTCGGAACTACTCACTCTTACTAAAGTAGCTAAGGAGACGCTGTTCGTTAGCCGGATATTAAGAGATTTAGAGCTTCGGTTAGACTAATAGTAACTATAGCTACACTACGATAATTAATAGACTATTAACCTTATTAATAGAAGGCATAACGTCTACGAATAAGGCTACAGCACGTTGATATTTATAACTAATAGGTATATTCGTTAGTATAGTAGGGCCTTTTTAAGGTTACGTACGTTAACACGAAGGAGATAATCGCAGATAGTTTAACGAAGGCACTACCAGAGGCAGGGATTAAAAGACTATAGTAATAGCTTAATTTAACGGATTAAATGGATTGTATCGAGTGGTCTAAACGACTACACGAAGAGATTAAACGCGCTAAAGCCACGGCCGTAGCGACTATAAAGGCCTCTAAGGGCGTAGTAGATCCGATAGATATAGATCCGATTAAGTAGATCCGGCTAATCAGGATTAAGGAACTAATTAAGATAGAATTAAATTAAACGGTTAAACAGGGCGGATTTAGATTCCTTTTACGAGGGCGTTTTCCCTTACCTGTTGATTTTACGCTGGAAAAGTTAAGAGCGTTTAGTTTAAACCGAAGCCTCTGATTAGTTAGTTAACCTAAGAAGACCTACCTTAACTAAGGGGGTGTGTTGTATAGGTACACGGACCACGACGTGGCCTATATGGGATCTAGGGGGGATCCACGCTATAACTAAGGGCTTCAGATATAACAGGGGCGGATACCGGAAAAGACCGAATAGGATCCAAATGACTTAGTACCCATAACAGAGTCTTCACCACCTAAATTGAGGGTATAAGAGACTCTCCTAGATATAACTTAATATAATATATATATACGAGATTTCTGCTCTACTAAGTTAATCATTTAAGTGCCTATTTGACGTGCGATATTACTTTCTTCTATTAGTACGAGTAATAGAAGCTTTTAGGGAAAATAAGTAACGACGAAACTATTAATTTAGTTTCTAATATACCGCTTACGGAGGAGCCTTTTTCGGAAGCTAATATTACGGGTTGACCCCGATATAAAGGATCCGGCTATACTCCGGATCTTTCTGACTGCATGCTTAGTCAACGGACCTATATCGCCTAGTTATCGCTACCTTATAGCTAGCCTAGCACTATAGACTTTTCTTCTTTTTCTTTTTTCTTTCCTTAATTCTAGATAATCTATTATTACGACCTTACTTAGTGCCACGACCTATAACTAGTCGTTTATAGCTAATACCGATAACGAAGCCAAAGATTAGTAGCACGAAGAAGAAGAAGAACTAGAAAAAGAAAAAGACAATGAAGATTAGGAAGAAAAAGAAGAAGACTCGGATAACGAGGTTCTTTTTTAAGATATTCCTATTATACCTACGCCTTTACGTCTCCCGGACCCCTACGCGGAAGACCTAATAGATATTAAATAGATATTTATCTTTTAAAATAATAAGACCCCTTAAAATACTAATATAAATATAGGACGGGTAGTGGAAAAGATTAACAGAATTTCAGATAGTTTAATTAAATTAGATTTGAATTTTTGTATCGATAGTGGTGCTATAGCACACGTTATAGTCAATAAAAAGCTCCTTTCTACGTATAAACCCACTAAAAGTACTACTAGTTAGGATAATACAAATAAAATAAAAATAATAGATACTAGCAACTATTATATTAAATTCAGGGATTCGGGAAGAATACTACTACTTCAGAACTATTTATATATTCCCGAATTAGGTGTAGCCGTCCTCAGTTAGGTAAGGTACCTACCTTAGTTATTACTTCCTACCTACTAGGTAGGTACCTACCTAATTAATAGCTCTTGCGGCAATGACTCTACAAAGTACGCCCACTCACTGCATAATAAGGTAATTACCTTACGGATAAAACTCGTTCGTCGGTACAGATGCGTCATACTCACTCTCATGAACGCTGCCGACCAGAAATGTCATGCTGCCACGAACTTGCGCAGCTCTTCTGCTAACCTGTGCGCGCCGACGTCTAGCATATTCTGTAATGATGAAGAGGACTTTCGCCGACTTCGTCAGCCAACCGCACATCAAAACGCCGGCCTCATCCAACCACATTGAGCTCACCACCCGAGAGGCACAGCTGAGAGACTTGCTCCTCGATGTAGCCGCATCCATCAATTCCACTCACAACCCCCCCGAACCTCTCACCTTACGGTGGGCAGGGGGCTGGGTTCGGGACAAGCTGCTCGGCATAGAGAGCCACGATATAGATGTCGCCATCAACTCGATGACCGGCTTGACTTTCGGCGAAAAGATGCGCGAGTATTGCGCCACGCCGAGCCATGCTTCCAGACATGGGATTCGTCCCGATGACATAGGGAACCTCCACAAGATCGCCGCGAACCCGGAGAAGTCAAAGAACCTCGAGACTACGACGGTCAAGATTCTCGACTTCGATGTGGATTTTGTTAACCTTCGCACAGAATCGTACACTGACGACAGCCGCAATCCCGTGGTGCAGTTTGGCACTGCCCAGGAAGACGCGTTCCGCCGTGATGCCACGGTCAATGCGCTGTTCTACAATTTGCACACGACGCAGGTCGAAGACTTTACCGGCGGCCTGGCTGATATGAGAGCCAAGCTCATTCGGACTCCCCTGGAGCCTCTGCAAACGTTCACAGATGACCCGCTTCGTGTCTTGAGACTTGTGCGCTTTGCTAGCCGCCTTGGGTTTTCCATTGACCCGGCAACAAGAGTGGCTATGTCTGACGCCAAGGTGCTTCGTGCCCTGAAAGTCAAGATTAGTCGGGAGAGGGTCGGTGTAGAGTTGGAGAAGATGTTGAGAGGTGAGCAGGCCCCGCGGCTTCCCCAGTGCTAACCTATACTGACCCCGGCGCTGAACCCTGAACCCAGGTAATACCCCTTGCAGAGCACTAGAGCTTTTAGACGACATGGGCCTTTATCAGGCCATCTATACAGACCCGACCAGAGATGACCTTCCCGCTCCGGATCTCTCTCGTTGGAGAGTCGCGTACCGCCTCCTTGACACGCTTTCCCATGACACATCGTCAGGTTCCATCTATACTCTTCTCGTGCAGTCTGCGGAAGACAAATACAATGCATGGGTATTGGCTGCGCTGACTCCCTGGGCACTTACCTCAGACCCGCCCACCCCGACCGGCCCGGGAAAGACCAAAGCTCCCCTTCCCTATGCAGCTATTGTGGCCAGGGAGGGCACGAAGGTTCCGAATAAGCTCTTTGACGTTATTGTCGCAGCCCGTCGCCACTGGTGTGAGATTCGAGACACTAAGGAATCTATATGCGTTGGCCTGGAGGCCAAGAGAAACCCCCAACGGGACACCATTGGCATGGCTATACGGAAATGGGATGCCCGCGAAAGCCACTGGAGGTTACAGGCTCTGTACACCATTCTTGTCGATGTCATGAATCGAGTGGATGCGGTGGCCGCAAATGAAATTGACGGTGAGATTCGTCTGTCCGGACTGGACCGCTCCTTATGCTCTGCGGTTCATCTTTATCTAACATTGACTGCTGAAACTCATCGTGCAGGCCTACTATCTGAGTGGCAGATGTTCCTTGACTACTTGGAGGACGAAGACTTGATGGATGTCACCTCCCTGGCACGACTGGTGGATGGAAAGATGATAGCCAGGGAACTACGCGTCAAGCCGGGCGAATGGGTCGGGCGCGCTCTTGATGTCTGCCTCTCATGGCAGCTTCGTAATCCTGGGTTCACCGACCCTAAGGGGGCGATAGAGGAAGTGAGGCAACGCAGTAGGGAGCTTAAGATTCCCTTGCCAGGGCAATAAATAACAACTTGTGTTGTGTCATGTAGACAAGGTCCATAGACACGGTTTAAGCGTATCACAACAGTGCTGTTTTCATGACTAGAAAGTTTATGTGTGATAAATTACATCCAAGCCCGGTCCCTAGATAGTGCGGATCGTGGCTACTGTGGCAAAGAAGAGCTGCGGAATCTCATTTGAAGACACGCCAACGCCGGCCAAGAAGAACCTGTAGCCCTATGACGGGTTGTGCAAAACCCATATAGTGCGGCTGCGCGCTCTTGTTGTAGGTTGCACACACAGAGAGACGATATGACTCGAGGGCACCTCGTTGACCGACGAGTACCGGATATCGCGGACGACAGGTGTGTGCTCATAGGGAAGGAGTAAAGTCTCAATATATGCATCGAAGATGCTGCACCATCATCCGGCGCACAGCAGGACAGCATGCCCGAATGTCTCGGTGTTTTGATGTGTGTGGCTTGCTTTTTCGGAGTCATGGGAAGGTCAGATGAACATATCCTTTTCGTTTTCAACTGCTCTGGATATGCTATGCATCGTCGTTCAAGAGGTCTACACCAACTCTCTTGAGCGCATCTACAGCCCATTCCGGGTACTTCGACTTGTCATCGTAGAGGTCGGAGAAAAACTGCCGGAGGAAGGCGGGAAAGCGGTCCTCGATGATGGACTGTCGTACTTGTTTCATCAAGTTTAGCTGGTACCACACATTATGGATGGTTAGTAGGTGAGCGGCGACCGTCTCCTTAGCGGCGTTGTGTGAGATGAACGCCCGCGTGACACCCAGATGCTGCGGGCGACAACAGAGGCAGCCGCAACCTTCCTCTATGGGTCCGAAATCATTCCCAAATTGAGCATTGCGAAGATTAAGTACGCCATGTTTGGTGATGGCATTTCCGAAACGAGCAGTCCGTGTAGGCCATACACAGTCAAACATGTCTGCACCAAGGGCGACACTAACTACCAGGTCCTCTGGGTATCCGATACCCATAACATATCGAGGCTTCAGCTCGGGTAGCATCTCCGTGCACGTCTCGACGACCTTGCAGAAGTCTACTTTGGCCTCGCCGCCACTCAATCCGCCGATAGCGATACCGGGCGTATCTCGCTCTAACATTTGCCGACAACATTCCCGCCGCATTTCCACGTCGAGACCGCCCTGAATGATGCAGAAGAGGTTTTGCGTCGTCGGGTTCTTGTGTGCCGCGATGCACCTGTCAAGCCACCGGACGCTACGTTCCATGGCCTGGCGCATGCGCACTTTGTCCGGCGAGGTCGTGACGAGCACGTCGTCTAATTGCATGATGATGTCGCTCCCTATCGTGTTCTGCAGGGAGATCGAATGCTCGGGGGTGAGTAGCATCGGGGAGCCGTCATGGGGACTGAGAAAGCGGACGCCTTCCTCCGTAACATTCGCCAGCTTTAGGAGACTGACCATCTGGAAGCCTCCACTGTCTGTGAGAAGGTTGTGGTTCCAGCCCTGGAACTTATGAGCACCGCCAACCGAGGCCAGGACATCTTGCCCAGGCTTCAGGCCTAGATGATACGTGTTGTTCAGGCAGAGGCGACATCCGGTTTCCTCCAACTGCTCAGGGGTCAATCCTTTGAGTGAAGCTTGCGTAGCCACAGGCATGAATACAGGTAATCGTACCGGCCCGTGTGGCAGCGTCAGAATAGAAGCGCGGGCTCTCGTTGTCTGACCTGATATGTTAGCATACGGTTCGAAACGGCTCATGAAGAGTAAAGCATTGGGTTTTCTTCTTACTGAGCAGCGAGCGCCCAACTCGAATGTTAGGGCGGCTGAAGAGCCTATAGTCGAGGATGCCATTTTGGTCCCTCTCCACATTCGAACTCCAGTCTGGCGGTGTTCCTCGCTCAGAAGGTCTCCTAATATTGCTTACTACGGAGTGGAAATGAGGACAATCATCTGCCGGGTCTGCTTTCAAGTAAAAAGCATAGTATTCGTACTCGAGTTTGGGGATGCCGTGAGCAAGTGTGGGCAGCTTATCGAGGCGAGACTTGCGATCCGTGTTCTCGGAAAGTTGAAACGGGAACGTTGGGCTTAAGGTATACCTAGACCGACTGGCTTGGTACCTGCCTCTCTACAAGTGTCAGATGCCCACAGCCACCTTATCGGGGGGGGGGGTGACTTACGCTATTTTGTACACGGATAGAGTACTTCCGACCGATATATCCACATCGATTTCCCCTCCTTTTACCTTATAGTTAGATATTTTCATGGAGTATCGTTTACTCTTCTTTAATGTATATATATATCATTTACGTACCTTATTTATATACTAATAATTATAAGCCTGGCGTTCTAATAAAATAAAGCTATTCCGGAAGATCCTATAGCTTAAAGACGATTAATACCTTTAAGTCTATAGCGGTTAGTTTAGTATTATTAGCTATATTAGCCTACCATACCTACCTAAGACCGCCGAACTATTTAGTTAAAGATAGAGGTTAGACTAGCAGTTAATAGAACTAGCAAAAACTATCACGACTAAGAATATAGTCCCTACACTATATATACTAGCCGGCTAGTACGTGGAAACGGCGTAGAGTGCCGTAGTTTATCCTAGCTTAGTCAGATAGATAGCTTAGTTAGGAGACTACCGAGGTATACCTATTATACCTCTATAGATAAGTTTGTAGAGCTTATAACCTCTCTTTAAATCTATCTTTAGTTCTTATACACTCTTAACACGCTTTGCGCTATAGCCGTATTCGCGGCCTAATAGATAGTAGTAACTATTTACTTCCGATTATCGCTATACTATACCCTATTTTCTTTTATTTAATCTACTAATTCAATCTATTATCCTATAATACACGATCGACACGCCTATTAACTACGGGCGCGTAATAGGAGTAAAATCGATAAAACCACTAAGATAGAGATTATAATTACCGCCTCCCTCCCGGGATATTATTGTAGCGGCACTATAATACTAGCGCTACGGTACGGCCGGAAGAAATATAGGATAGCGTCGCCCTAACCTCGACTACGGAGAATTCGTAACGGACCCACTTTTCGTAATATAAGCGCTCCCCCCCCCGCCTATAGTAGGATATAGCGCGGAACCGATATAAGAGTAAAAAAGGACTATTACGCCCCCCAGAACTAAGAGTAACTAAGATTAAGGTAGAAATCTAGGCCTTACTAGCTAATAAGAATACGATTAAGTAGGTTCTAGAGTTAGTAAAGGAATTAATCACGATATATAGTACCTATAAAGATGCTAGTATAATACCGCTAATATACCTATACGCTTCCGTTTAATATATTATCCGAGAGGAACTCCGAAAAGAAATAAGCGGTACAAAAAAGACCTCGGCTAATATTATAGGCCGGACTCCTATAGCGGTACCGCTATAGGACCCCGCCCCCCCTAAAATAATCCCTGCTAAGTATTACCGGGAATTAATTATCCTTTAAGGAACCTTCCCCGAAGACTAGCCCCTTAAAGCCAGGACCTAAGAAAATTATCTAAGCTATAAACGCCACGACTACCCGACACGATACTATAACGGTATATAAGCTACTAAGCGGGGATATATACCTTACCTTTACCGAAAGGGTATAATAGTAGGCTACCTATAAGGAATAATAGATTAAGAAGGCTTTTAGTAAAAGAGCTACCCTAGCCATATATACTTATACTACGCTAGCTAAGGCTATACGTTAAGAGGACCTTAACGCCCTATCCGAAAAAGACCTGCTAGTATCCCTATAAGATATAAACCCCGAGGCTGAAATTATCTACGTATAATAACGGGTACCCCATTATAGTACTAGCAGGGTAACGCTTCTCCTTATTAAATCGGCTTTACCGGAAAGGGTAAAAAGCCTTATCCAGAATACCCTCCTCTTTAAGGGGCGTAACTATATCCATAAGCTATATAATCCTAACCTTAACCCCTTAAAGTGCTATAAATACCTATACTTCGGCTATAGGGTAAACGGCTACCTTACAACGGAGAGGGTATACCGTTACTACGCTAAGCCCGAATCGGCCTACTTATAGGGCCTAGGATACTATAAAGCTACGGCGCCTAAGCGCCCCCGCCGCTATACCGCCTATACCGGAGATTATAATACCTTCGACGATTCATACTGGTAATTAAAGAAAAAGGCTAAGAAGACCCGTAAAGCGTATAAGTACCGAGCTAAGGACTTTAATATTACCCGTTAGACCGAAGCGGTATACCCGCGATAGCCGTAGATCTTCCCCCCGATTATTATCGCCTAAGACTAGGACTAACCCCTCTATAGGGGTAGGGGCCGGCTCCCGAAAAGGACTAGAGGATAGGAGGGCTCCCTGATACTAGGCCCGATAAGTGCCTATATAGTCCCCTACAGGGCTAGTACGGTATTATAGTAGGAACCCTAGAGCTAGACCCCGGTTATACCAGGTATATTATCTTAACCCTCCCCTCCTATTAATTAATAGAAATCCACGGCCTTTTATAGAATATAGAGAGGACTTAGGCGCGGCGGGAGCTATGACTCTAGTACCACGCCGAGTATAATATAATAGTAATCCAGGAACCTAGCCTTAACCCTTTTACGAAAAGCCCTGTTTACCCCTCCTAAGGGGTATACCGGCTAATCTAAGGAGGAAGCCGCGCCCTTTTATATATCTATAAAAGATACCCGCTATATACGTAGACGTCATAGGCCTACTCTAATACCTACGCGGTTATATTTAGGACCGGAGATACTACCCTTATAATCTAGTCGATCTACTTAGAGAACTACTAGCTAGCTAGGATCCCCTAGAATATACCCCTATAAGATATATTCGATACGGTACTGCTATAGGGCCGATACGTCTTTATAGGGAACTTTAACCTATACTACCCCCTATAATTATAGCCACCACGGTACTACCCCCGGGCCGATACCCTATGTACCCTTATAACCCGGTAGAACCTAGACCTAGTAACCTCCCCTAGAATAACTATATAGCACTGCCCGGGCCGGCGTACTAGTACTATTAACCTTATATAGGTAATATAAGGGCTCCGCTATAACTTTAGCGGCCTTAATAAGACCGTTATCGGGTTAGATTACTACTTCTAGATAGCCCGAATCCTTATAAAAACGGATATTACGCTAATTACCGCGATAATACTACCACAGGACTAAGTCAGGCCCTACTAAGTCTAAAAAGACTTTAACCCCTCTTAAGTCCTTTAATTCGCCGCTACGTAACTATAGTAGACCGGCCCCCTTATAATACTGGGAGATATTAACTTAGTATTAGATAAACTAATAAAAGACCTTATAACCCTAGCCGATAAGGCTATACCGCGCCGCCGCGGGGGTACCCCTAAACGCCTACTTACCCCTTAGTGGAACGCGGAGCTTACCGCCCTTACCTAGAAAATAAGGCGCCTTTACCGTAGATATATATCCAAGAAGTCCTAAAACCGGTAGGATAAGTTCTAGGAATTGGAGAGGTGCTAAGATAAAACCGTGGTAGTAGCGAAGCGACTATACTAAAGGCACTTACTTTATTTAACCGGGAAAAATAATAACCTCCTTTAGCAGCTATAGAAATAGGTATAAATTAAAGGGGGCGTACCGCCGGACCTCTTATTAGTACTATTATTATACCGAGACGATAGCGATAACCCGGTAACCACGTATATAAAGAAGGCCGAAGTCCCTAACCGGAAGTTCTTCCCCCCCCACCCTTTTTTACCGCCCCTAGGCCCTTAGGCGCGGAATTCCCCCCGGGGTAGAATATCCGCCGCGATATTACCGTAGCGGACGTATAAGGGCGCCTTAAGAAACCTAAACCCTAGGCAGTACTAGGATCTAATAGGCTCTTAGCAGGGCTCCTAAAAGTATATAAACCTCCCTTATACTGAAGACTAAATACTATCTTTATAGCGTGCCTTAAAGCGGGCTATTACCCGAAAAGGTATTATTATACTCCTATAGTAGTCCTTAAGAAGGAAGGTCGGCTATCGGCCGACTATAAGATAGTAAAGGGCTAGCGACAGATATTACTCCTTAGTATAATAGGTAAAGTCCTTAAGGGGATATTAGCCGACCGGATCGTTATTATAGTGGAGGAGTATCGGCTCCTCCTAAAGGGGTAGATAGGTAACCGGATAGGGCGAAGTATAAAGACGGTAGTATAAAGAGTTATAAAGGCCGTAAGAGCGAGTTAGGCCTATAGCGGTACCGCTTCGATACTCTAACTAAATATTAAAGGCGTATTCGATACCATCCCTTACTCTCGCCTCCGTAAGTTACTCGAAAGGAAAGGCTTCCCCCGGTAGCTTAGTACCCTAATTAGTAGTTTTCTTGAAAACTATATAGCCTAGCTATTACTTAATAGCGAAACGGCCTCCCCGTGGCACCTCCGCGGGGGTATACTATAAGGCTCCCCGATCTCCCCTATCCTCTTTATCCTTTATATCTCTACCCTTTATAAGGAACTAAAAAGGGTCCTTAAAACGATAATAGCAGGTTTTACTGATAACACGAATATTATCGCTTTTAGTAGAATAAAGGTATAAACGCGGTATCGCCTTACCGCCGCGTAGCGGATATACCTAGACTAGGAGATAGCGAGCGGGCTATAATTCGAATTAGCTAAGTGTATCTATATCTCTTTTATAAAGTCATACTAACCCTTACCTACCCCGCTCCCCCTTAACGCTATTTTGGTACTAGTAGCGGAGGCTACAAGGCTCCTAGGCGTCTAGCTTAATAGGAAGCTTAACTTCCGACGATATACTAAAAAGGTAAAGAGCCGTCTAGCTACCTAAATATACGCCCTCTTAAGGCTTAGCGTGGTAGCG